AAAAAATGAAAGAAAGAAAGGGAAGGAAAAGGAGGGAGGGAAGAAATGAAGGAAGGAATGATTTGATTTTTCTTTTTTCCTGTTGAAACACTTTTTTCTCATAACTTCTTAACTTTTCTTATAACAAACGTTAGAGTCTGGATCTGGATGACAGTGTCATCAGCAAACACGTTGAGAATTAATTTTTTGTTTAACTTTATTCTGAGCGACTTGACATAGACTTTAAAGAGGAGTGGACCGAGGACGTGTCCCTGTGGAACACCATTAGCCACAGAAGTGAAGTCCTACCTTCTTGGTGAAGTCCATGGCTTTGAGGATGGACAGGTTGAGAGTCTCCAGTGAGGCCAGGACTCCCTCATAATCTCCCATGTGTTTGGCAAAGTAGTCTGCAAAATAAAAAAAAAAAAAAAAAAAAAAAAAAAAAAATAATTGTACATGGATTAGTGACATAACACGACAGAAGTTTCAGAATCAAAGTCATTTATTCAGTTTGGTGGAAGTTAAATTAATTCACTGATGACTTAATAATATTGGGGGGAAAAAAGAGGAACTGAATTTCAATTATCAGAGAAACACTTGTTAATAATAGATAAGAGAGAATGAGGGCAGTAGCCGTGTGTGTGTGTGTGTGTGTGTGTGTGTGTGTGTGTGTGCAGTGGTCCACTTACCACAGAGCTCCCTAGTGTCAACATTACTATCACAGCACACGAGTGGAGTGGCACAGAGGAAGAGAAAGGAAGGAAGGAAGGACAGAAGGAAGGAAGGAAGGAAGGAAGGAAGGAAGGAAGGAGGGAAAAGGGAAAAGAACAGGATCAGAATCAGGAAAGACTGTATTTACAGGACAGGTAAAATACTTCATACTGTCTCACACACATTTACACACACACGGGGGAGGGGGCGGGGGTCCTGACATGATTGACAGCTGCCTGAGTGTGTCATCACTGCTGCTCAGTTGACTGTGTGACAGTCGTTTGAATGAGAGAGGAGGAGGAGGAGGAGGAGGAAGAGCACAGGGATGTGTTCTCCTGCAGTGTAAATATGAGCTGCGGATGCTAATGTGTTAGCACGGCTAATATATATATTTATTTTAGTTCTATATTTATAACCTCAACTTTATGATGTTATTAAAATTCTCTCATTGTGATTGGTTCATCAACAATCGTTGGAACAGATGGTTCAGAAATCCACATTTAATCGATTTTTGTGATGAAAATTAACGTGCTAATAGCTGTGAATTTGTGTATTTAAAGTAGGAACGTCCGATACGAGTTTTTTTTCCAAAATCCGATATCATCCAAACACTTAAGGGACGTCCGATACGAGCTTTTTGCCAAAATCCGATATCATCCAAACACTTAATTTCTGATTCCGATATCAACCAATAAAGATACCTGCAGCTGTTTTCTCACAAAACACAACTATTTTTTAGGCGAAACCCAGGCTTTGCGATATCGGGTTTTCATTAATCGGAGGAAAAATGATATTGATACCTAGCGATATTACATAGTTATGCTAATATCGGCCGTTATCATCGGATATTCACTGTTTTATATTTCAACAGCTCTGGTAAAATCATCTACTTTTTACCGTAATATACTGTAGTAGTAAAACAAAACGTTAGCCTCCTGTACCGTAGGGCGGGTCTGGTCAGCACTATTTGCGGTACTAATTCACGCCTTTATCTCCAGCATCTGTTCCAGACGCAGGAAGCTGTGAGAAGGAGTCGGAGAGACTTCTTCTTCCGTCTCTGTCCGCACATCCCTCCTCAAACATCCATCAACTTCCTGCCCCGACAGGAAACGCTTACGCCGTCATTTCTGCTTTTATTCGGGCCAATCAATAACCTTATCTGCTGTCACATGATAATGCGGAGGCCTGGCGTGCAGCTGCCAAGTCTACTTAACCCTAATGAGATAGAAAACTTTCACCCACTGCCTCCACTGCAGCAAAATAAGATTTATAAACGTCACACTGGCTTCCAGGAGGTGAAGATGGCTGGCGTCAGTTGCACGGACCATTTACTGCACTGATTTAAAATAAAGGGGGGGGAGGGGAGGGCAGAGGGGGTGTATATATACATATATATATATATATAAATACTTCATAGTGCAAACCTCTAAACAGGTCTGATTTTGTTCTGCTCTCTGTCGTTTCATCGCTGGAGGATAAGGATTCGGAGGTTCTGTAAATCAACGGACGAGCCGATTGGCTGGTTGAAAACAGTGTGTACAGAGAGAGGCAATCAAAACTATGGGTTTGCTGGAGGAGGAGAGGGTTGGGGTTAACCCCCTCTCTCATTATTTTGTCTCACTGTTTGGGATTCTGCTTTTACTGTTTTTGCAATTTTCCTACGGTCCCTAAATGTGAACGGGCTTTGGAGGCAGAAAAAAAAAAAAAAAAGTCAAACGTAAAAACAGCTTTCAGAAGTGGGGCGTGACATCTGGGGGCAGCACAACAAATTATATACATTTTAACAAAGCGTGCGCACGCACACACACAGAGCAGAGACACAGCTGCGTGCATCCTTCTCCATAATAGATATGGTGATGTGATCAAAAACACTGGTCACAGCACACACACACACACACACACACACACACACACACACACACAGAGAGGCGTGCAGTGAGTGCTGACCTGGTGTTATCAGAGTCGATGGTGTGAAACAGCTTCTCCAGCTCCTCCTCGTTCAGCGTTCCGTCCGAGAAGAAAGCCTGGAACTCGTCCAGGGAGAGTTTACCATCATCTGCAAAACACAAACGCACAAACGTGTGTGAAACGACGTGGAGCAAAGGTCGACGGACACAGAACCGGTCCACTTTAGCGGATCACGTAAAAACACAAAAAAGGTCGAATGTAAGAAATATATATAGACATATATTTATATATATTTATATATATATATTTATTTATATATTTATATATATATATACATATATATATATTTATATATATAAATACAGTATATATAAATGTTATATATATGCAGTGTTTATTGCGTTAACCTTACAAATATATGTATATATGTAAATATATGTATGTATGTGTATATGTAAATATATATATGTACAGTATATATACATATACATACATATATATTTGTAAGGTAATGTTTTAAATACTGCATATATGCTGTGTGTATATATGTACATATATATGTGCATATATGTATATATGTGCACTAACTCTTCAAAAACATATTTATTTCAAAACATTTGTGTTTTCTTAAATGTTTAACGTTAACCACTAACTCTTTCTGACTTCATGGAGTTTTCCTTTTTACAGTTACAGAACAGTTAAATCCCGTAACACCAGAGACTTTTAGGCTTCCTACTCCGCGGTCTCACGAGAGCCAATTAAGAGTTCTTTTACGGCGCCGGTGTGAAAAATGTACTTACGGCTGGAGTTTCTGTTTTGTAGAAATTACATTCATACGGGAGGTTTCTGCACAACACCATAAATCCAAGCCTTCTCTGGGCTTTCCTGCCCGACGTGATGATATTTTCAGATTAGCACAGCTGTTAGCAGCCTCAGATGGCGCTCCAGGCCGTGGACTGAATTATGAACAGCAGTTACAGCCTTTTATTCTGTGTTTAGATTTTACTGCAGGTGATACGTTCCTCCAGAACAACGGTATCGTGGTTTAACTGTACGCCAGCGTGGTGGGTTCTGGGGCGGTGGAGTGGTCTTCTTCACAGCTTTGGCCAAATCCTACTGTACATCAGCCTGAGAGTCTGTTCTCGCTGCGTGATGCAGAGCCAGATATCAAATATTTATTTCCTCGCCCTCAAAGTGTGCGTGTCCTTGAGCGAGGCTGACTGGATGCTGCAGGTTGAGCAGTGGGACCACTGCAGAGAGCGCAGGAAACCAGGGGGGGCAGGAAAGCACACTGCAGCTCTATAGAAAAAAAACAACCTGAATTCAAAAGCCCCCCCCCCCCCCCCCCGATTCACTGCAGGACTAGGTTATTAGCATGTGTGTTGTGTTTTTCTAATTTAGCACAGTGGAGTGATGTTGTTTTGTTTTCTTTTTCTTTGTTTTCTTCACGCTCTGCTGTGACTGCTGCCCCCTGCAGGAGTGACGCTGAAACAAATCAAAGACATATAAAGAGCGAGTGCCAATGACTGCAACTTGTCTTGTCGTGCACCGAGCCCAGAAGACGACGGTTTTTGGAAACGAGGAGGATCTTAGTGTGTTTTGAGTGCATTTCCACTGTTAGCCTGCAGGGGCAGACTGTCAGCGAAGTTTTATTTGTTCTCACGTTGAATATTAAGCATGAATAATATTTATCACTTCTGCAACATTTGTTAAAAATATTCTCTTCTTAAACACTGATTTTCAATATATTGTTAAATAAAACAACGATTTTATCGGCTGATATTATTGGCCAGATTCACTTCTCTGAAATGGTCCATCTCCATGGCTGCTGTAAGACACTAGGTTTCCAATGTACAGCTATGGTCTGCGACCCATATATTTTCTATTAAAAAAAAACAAAACAACAACAGCGTTCAGTTTATTGCGCTCAGGAACCGTTCCCCACAGAACAATTAAAGGAACAAGCAGCGGCGCTCTGTGCTACATATATTAACCTAACCCTCATGTCCGTCCAGTTTCTGGAAGG